CTTCTGGGCTGCCAGCGCCCATGGCCGGCTCATGTCCAGCTTTTCATCCACCAGTGCCCCCAAGTCCCTCTGGGCAGGGCTGCTCTCCATCCTTTCTTCCCCCAGCCTGTATGGATACCGGGGGTTATCCCGAGCCAGGGGCAGGACCTTGCCCTTGGCCTTGTTGAACCTCATGAGGTTCACACAGGCCCACCTCTCCAGCCTGGGTGGAGAGGTGGTGGGGTGGATTTTGTCCCAGATGCCAGAGCCAGTCCATTAGGGTTCACTCCCAACTTGGTAGGTTGCTTTCACTTGGCAAAGAGCTAAAGGTGCTTTCCTTAAGCAAAAATGATCTGGGCCATTCATTTTTGCTGGGGAACTGAACTGCCCTGGGCTAAAGGCTGGCTGCAAAGGCAAGGTGGGCTGCATAGCCTTCTGCACCACCCCAGCGACACAAGTTGGTCCTTCGCCTGGCTCTTCTTCCAACAGCCAGCAGAGAAGCAGCACCTTGGCGGGGGGGAAAACCAAAAGTGGTTTAAGCCAGGATAAGGAGCTGGCAGCAGGTCTGGGCTGGCGAGCTCTCCCCTGCCTCGGCCTCCGCTCTTCACACCGTAGCGAACGCTGCCCAGCTGCACCGCTTCGAAAGAGATGGCCTTGCAAAATAACGCCAGGGAACCAAAAATAATCCCTCCCAGGAAGCAGCAGCCGGGCAAATCACTCCTCCTGCTTTCGTTTTCTTTTGCAATTCAAAAGAGCATCAAAAACGCTCGCACTCAGCAAAGAAGCGCCCGGGTGGGGGTTATTTCCTACACGGGGTGGTTGGGAGAGAATATCCCCTTCCAGCTGATGCCGAGTTGAAGGTTGGCTCCCATTGATCTCCTGCAGGCACTGCCTGACTATCTTAGCAGCAATGAAATAGCTGAGTCATAAAACCCTCCCCTTACAAAAAAAAAAAAAGCGGGGGGGGGGGGAAGGAACTGGAAAAAAAAAAACCCAGAGCAGGGTCTGTAATGGAAACACTAAGCGACTCCAGCTGGAACATCTGTTCAATGTGATTTCCGTTCCACCAGCCACATCAAAGTCAGCCTCCTGTGAGTTATGCGCTGAACATCACAAGTGGGATTAAAATCATGTTTAATAGTTTGATATGCCATAAACTATTTATACTGCCAGAGCCCAGTGGCTCTATGGCAATGCACAGGCAGCGTGCCGGGCTGGGGAGCAGCGGGGTTATTGCTTACCCAAAGCCATTTGCTCCAAGCCCCTGCACACACGCGTGCGGTCGCTCATTTTTACACCTGGGTGTTTTTTTCTCACGGCCGAGAAGGGATTTGACTGCATCTGTATTTTTGCAGGAGGTGGGAGTAGGAAAAAGAACGCGGCGGGTCTGCGGCCCGGGGCGACGAGCAAACCGAGGGCCACGCCGCTGTGCTGCAGGGTCTCCTGCTGTGCTTATCCTTGTCGCACTGGAGTATTTTATTCCCTTTTGTGCTTCCCACTGGGAAGCGTGAAAGCCCAGAGCTGAAGAGGCATCTGCTCCCAGCTCCTCATTGGGCCCCCAGGCTGCGTTTGGGTTCGGGGCAGAGGTTTGGAAGGGCTTGTTGGGAGGGGAGAGGAGCCTGGAGCGGGGTCTGCCCGTGCCCAGGAGGCAGCAGCGCAAGAGCCGGCACGCTGCCCGCCGCCCGCGGAGCTCAGCCCGTGAGCCCAGCCAGCATTTCCCAGGTGCTAATTTAAAATAGGGGGAGCTGGGGGGGTTAAAATAGGCTGCCCGGCTGGCGGGGAGCAATGCCGGTCCCCCGGCGCGCGCCTGCTCGCGGGGTGCGTGGTACCTGGGCGTGCGAGCATTTGCATGCACGCTCTCCTCCCGGCTGCCTGTAGGCTAGCTCTATCTGATTTCATCATTCAAATTAATTACAAGAAGCCAGGCAGGAATTATAATTGTAACCAAGTGGAATTACATTCTGATGAGTTACAATTTGTCTTTCTCTCTCTCTTTTTTTTTTTCCCTTTAAAATACCCCCAAAACACACTGGCACACACAAACCCACGCTATCCGTGGCACCCGCCACCTCGCGGGGAAGCGACCACGATATTAGAAAGCCCAATCCCATTTGTGAAAGGCAAGATCAAAGACTTTAATTCATTTCCTTTGCTCTTTTTTTTTTTTTTTTTCCTTTTTAATCTCTTTTTTTTTTTTTTTTTTATTTGGAGTGCAGGAGGGAGCCGGGCTCATTTTAATACAAAGAGCCTGCTCTGTAAATTGTAGGCACAGCTACTAAACCATCAAACAATGGGGAAGCTACTAAAGAGAAGTGTGATTCATACTTAACAAAGGAAGGTGATTAGCTGTTGTTGTGTAACAATGGGGAAGTGTCAGGATGCCTGCAAATGAATTAGGACCCCCCCATATATCTCTGGGCTGTTACGTTTGGGAAGCTCATTTATATTCCCAACTGCGCCCATCTTTATTGTCATTTGAATTGCACATTTTAAAATGAGATTAGGGTAAATTGAAAATACCTATAATTTCCCCGTCATCGTTTCCCAGCAAGAAGGCAGGTGGCTTGGCTCGCAAGAAAGCGGGGCTCAGGCTGGGTAAATATCACGGGGCCGAGTGAGGTGGGGACGCGGCGGAGGAGGAGGCATCGCCTGCCTTTCCCCCTCCCGTCGCACCCAGGCAGCCAAGGTCACTGCCAAGGCCACCTCGGAGACACCCCCCCTTGTGCAAGGGGCCATCCCGACCCACCCCACGCCCGGCTGGAATAACGTGAGCTCGCTCTGGCCGCTGGCCCGCTCCCTCCACACCTGGACAGGCT